AAACACAGACAAAAATATTCTTATTGACCCAATGGGAATAACCTACTACCCAAAACATTAAACAATTGTGTTTCCCAAACCATGGAATTGTCCGCCCCCACCAACCAAAATTATAGTTTCTTTTTTACAATTTTTTCTTTTGTATGTTTATACACTTCAAATTATTCAATTATTAATTTTGAAGACTTTTAAGATTTATTATGAGCTTATTTTATATTTAGCTCCGTTTGGTTCAGCTAAAATAGCGTATTAAAATCTAAATCAAAATCAACAATTAATTTTAACCACTCATTTATTGGGATCCACAACTTTTTAACCACACATTCCATCAACTTTTATCAAAATTTGCTAAAAATCTATTTTTTATCAAAACAAAACAGGGTCTTAATAGTTTTTTAATATTTTTTTACTTTTTGCTTTATGGTGAAGCTTATGCCTGGCTTCATGTTTTAAAAATCCCTTAGTACACGATATAGCCTCATTAAACATTGATTGCTGGTGGAAAAGATGAAGACTTGAAGTTACAATTTTGGCAGCCAATGGACTAACGTATCATTAGATGTTTGCAGATCACTCTCTTTGATATCCATATTCATTTGGGAAGTATCTTTATTCTGAAAATAATTTACAAGCTGAGTTTAGAGAAGGTCAGAAGATACTAAGGGCCTTAGTATGGCAGGGACCTGCTTTGGTTTGTAAGCCATTGAAAAAAGGGGATTGGGATTACTGATGTTAAGTGAGTGGAACAAATAGCAAATATTTAAATCCAAATAAAGCAGTTATGACGAGACATCCTAGCGTTGGAGCCTTGGAGGAGGATACTGCAGTCTGCAGCTGCCAGCTTGGGAGAAGGTGAGAACTTGGAGGTAGTCATGATACTTTCTTATGCCATGATATTTACATACGGCCTCTAAGATTTCATTTATAAAAAAACCATAGTAAAGCAGTTTTCCAATGATGAGACGGCAAAGATGAGTTCTACTATTGAAGAATAATTAAAATAAAATGACCTAATGGGAGGAAGGAAACAGCCATAGTGCAAGAGTTGATAAGTGAAACACCAGCGAGCTTTTTCCCAATAACAAAAGCAGGATTATATTCAAGTGACTTCCAAGCATCACACGGTTGAATTTTTTCCAAGAGTGCATGGAGACTCCTAATGGTAAGAGCGGCATCAGTAGCACAGTATCAGGTGGAGGGGGTTAAAAAAAGACCACATTTTCTTTTAATCTTTGGTTGCAGCATCGTGAAGATGAGGAAATGGGGATTTACACAGGATGTGAATTATGTACTATGTCAGCATGGTAATAAAAATACTGGCCATTATCAAATGCACTTATTCAGCGTAATTGTGGCGAAACATATAATATCGCCTGCATGTGTATAAAAGTAGTATTGAATGGGACCAATCTGGATGTTAAATACATTTAAATGTAATAATTCCTGGACTAGGCTATGCATATTGGCGTTCCCAGCACCTGTCTACTTTACGTGGAAGGAAAAGAATAGTAACAGGCATTTCCTAGGAATCAAAGAAGTAGAAATTTGTTCTTGACATGTCAACTAGCACAACAATGATTGCCAAAAGTTGGAGAACAATAATCAATACAAAGGACACTGGGGAACTAAGCATAGCACTAGGCCTGACATCATAAATTTTCTGCAGGAAGCTGAATCTGTAATAAGATGCCATCAGTAGGGCATTGTTCTGTAAAATGATAACTGCTCTTTCATCTATTAATTAGTGTAGTATCATGGAAGTTGCAATTTTGACTAGAAGGCAGGCTTTTACACTTCAAATTTAATCAGCACGCAATAGAACTGCCAAAGTACTTTACTACGTCAAGCCTTGATCATACAAGTCTCCCACTAAAGCACTCTTCTACAAATCTTCCATCAATCTTCGCAAAACACGTTCTCTATACTCACACTAAGAATTGAATTTCACAGTGCCAGTTATAAGGAACTAAATTGTACACTTACAGTGCCTAAATCACTCAGCCTGGTAACCACTATTAATCAAGCTTCTTACTTTATTTAAATTTTCTTAAAAGAAATCAATTCACAAACTGATCCAACCAATTTATTTCATTTACCATATATTCCTCTAATCCTAAAATTGAATTTAATCATTTTCTCACCTTGAATGGGGAAAAAATATAAGTATAATTTTTTTTCTAGATCGTCAGAACGAAACTGACCTCTGAGGAGTATCAACCTCCTCATTGGCATCACCGTTCTTCAATTCATTCAACAATTCTCTCATGGTAAACGTCCGATTCCCTTCCTCTCGTTTCAGTTTCGATTCACTCCCCGTATCATTCGCTTTTACCTCCTTCTCCTCAGATTCATTCATTACACTTGGCTGGATCGAAATTTCTTCTGGCGCAGAATTTGATACCTCCGCATGGACTGATTGTACTTTTTCGGATTCAACTATGTCGTTGATTTTGGAATCTTCTTCTGCATCTGGTGATTGTATGTCGGTATGCCGGATTCCGATGTCGTTTGAATCGGGATCTAGATCGGTGGCGGGTGGTGCTGGTTCGGACTCGGGTTCGGGCTTGGGAGCTTCGTTTTCTAAACGATCAGCATTTGAAGACATTATTTTGAAGCAGTAGAATACAGGATTTGAAAGCACAACAAGAAGAGGTAGGGAGAGGGAGGGGGAGAGAGTGAGAGAGAGAGATTTCACTGTTTTCTCACTGAGATTTTAACGAAATTTCGAATTTTGATTTTTGTTTTATTAATCTGTTGCGGGTGGGGGAAAGGGGCGATTTTTTATTTTACTTTTCTTTACCAAATTTCTTTCATATTTAGAGTTTGTTTAGAAGAGATTTTTGAAAAAAAAAATTAATTTTGAAAAGTGATATGATGGGAAATGTATAGTTAAAAAGAAAGAAAAAATTATTGATGTGATAGAAAATATTATTTTATTGAAAAATGTGTAGTTGAAAATGAAAATTGATTTACTGTAGAAAAATCTAAGGGTCTGTTCTCTTTGTCGTTTTCAAGCCGTTTTCTGTTTTCGATTTTTCAAAATAGTGAAAACGCGTTCTTTTTCCTATTTTCGAAAACGTGTTTTTGAAAACAAAAAATTTTTTTGTACTGAAAACAGAAAATGACATTTCCACCGTTTTGAACGTTTT